GAACGGTATTGACGGACTGTGGACATCACAGAACGACCACCAAGACGGTCAGTGTAAGACTTAACTCACAGAGTTGTTGTACACGCAAACCTTGATAATTATTTTAAACGTCAACAATTGAGTGGTGAGTAGGTGAGACATTTCATTATAGAACAATACAGTTTACGCCTGAGAGTTACCTTTCAATTAATATAATATAATATGATTGGGTAGCGTTCTTTTAATACGATCCTCATTAAATTCTGTCGATCAAGATTATAGCCAATCCTTTAGCCTTCTGTCAGGTTATTAGGAAAATACTCAAATACTTGAAATTGAAATAAATCTACTCTTTATGGTTCCAAAATATAGTTTAAAAATAAAAACTGCTACATTTTAAAACCAATAGTCCATAACAATTTATTTTGATACAGAAATAAATAGTTTTTTTTTATATCATGGTTTCTGGAGTTGTGGAGACTACTGGTGCTCGAATAATCAAAGTTCCGGTATCATTACTGTCACCTAGTAAAAACACAAAACTAAGCTGAGATATTAAGTTCTTGAGTTAAAAAAATTATTAACGCACTTCCGGAACATATAACATTGATTTACATGGTTTTGTTCAATAACAATACATTTGTTATTTATTGGCCTATTATTATAGTATATATAGTTCTAACCGACTTCACCTGATTCTAAATAATTAATTAAACTCCGTGATTTTAATCACTTCACTAAACACACGACCCCATACTCTACGTAATACGATGTAATTTGAGGTATTAAATTTAACATATATTTGAGAGGCTTATATTATAATTATATATTATCACCGAAATTTCCAAGGTAATTACTATTGTTACGACTAACTCAAAGGTTTTACAATCCTTTTCGTTCAATAACAGTTTAATTTTAAATCAAAATAATAATAAGAATAATTGCATAAGGAATAAATTGACATCATACATTGCCTATGCATTTCCATCATACGGTTTGGTTGGAAAATATATTTAATTTTAATAAAATATTAATGTACACGGCAATGCTAGATATCAATATAATATAATTATTATTTACCTTGATATTGTTTACAATTTCTATAAGCTTTACAATGAGTCTTTTCATTTAAAAATGACAGTTGAAACATATTAAAAAAATCTTTTTAAATTACCTACTCGAAGTGTTCACTACCTGTAAAAATAATGTATACTAATTCCTTTCAATAAATGTTCTTCTTATTGTTAGTCTAAACTCACTAGCATAGAAATTGATTGTAATAATATTTATTCGTTTTGTTAAAGTTTAAGGCTTAAAATAAAATGTTTAAGTTGAATTATATTATTCTTATCCATATTTTGCATAATTGGAGCTCTTGAAGGAAGACTTGAACAATAAGAAAACCATTGTGATAAACGTACTTTTCTGTAAGAAATTTTAAGTAGTTTTCAAAACATACTGAAGAAGATGTTATGAAAAACTTAAACTATATCTGATTTTCAATACATACTGATTTGAAAAATAGGACAAAGGTAGTACATACCACAGTACTTATATTTAGCATGTTTGATTTTGATTATTGATCCAATGAAAATGATAAATAGCATCTTAAATTAATCAGTATTAAAAGTGTCTGGATTATTAAAGCTTTTGATAATTAATGAACACTTACAGATTATATTACTATTGAATGACAATCTAATCTATAACGCATGCATAATGGTGGTATTAGTAAATTACATTAAAAATATAACTTTACTAAAAATTATTTAAAGTTTACAATATGAATCAGGACGTGTGTAAAGTTGGGTGATTATTTTTCGTATGACATGAGATTTAAATGTGATCTTATGCAATATGATTTAAAATGGGAAAAGTTCGCAACATAGTGTTCAATAAAAAAATTGTAATTCAAAAAACTGCTTAGTAATGTTATTGTTTGCGTTACTTTGATTTTTTTTTTGTGAATCTTCTTTAGTGAACCGTGTTATAACTTATTATTCAATTATTTTGAATTAAAATGATCGAGAAATCCAAAATATATTGCCAAACGTGGGGCTTAATAACTTAGTCTGTTATACGTAAAAGCTTTTATGAAAGCTGAGGCTGGTTCATATCAAAGTAAATAATTATCGCTTACATACCTACAACATTACTTTCACTTATTTTATGTGTAAATTGTTTTCATTACGTGGTATACATATTTCTTTAAGCTTTTTACTTTAAACACATTATAATACTATACTTACAAAACAAATTGCAACTTATTTAAAAACAAAATATACACTATACTTAGGTATATTAAATACAGCTTTAATAGTTATTACTTATTAAGTAATAGTAAGTATAGTGTATATTTTATATATTTTATATTTTTATACCTAATAGCCTAGTACCATTAGTTCAAACTGATATAGTGATATCCAGTGCAGACTGCAGAGTTATTTTTAATATAAATTATAGATAATAATAATCAATAAGAGTATATTAATATATTATTTATACTTTATTATTTTATTTATTAGTCTCTATTTTTGAAATCGAATCAATTGAAAGTTTCAAGTGTGAATGTTGATTAGAGTTTAGTGATATAATACTAGTATACGACATCTAGCTGCTAATAAAGTCTTAATTCGTACCTAAGCCTTTTTAACTGAATAAACTATTCTTTGAATAGTGATTTGACAGCCAAAAAGATTTGGGTGGTTAGGCTAGATACTACACGTGGTTTAATAGCAGTAGGTAATCTGGTGGGAGACTATAATATATTTCGAATTCTTGGAATGGTAATGGACTATATACTCAACCTTTTCTCTAGCACATAATATTTTTGTCGTATATGTTTACGTCGCAGAGGTCTCAAGTCCCGTAATATTAATTAATGTGCATAATAGGAGTGGGGAGGAGGGGGGTGTTTTACAAAAGACAATAGTCAAAAAAAATTATAATTAAGTATTATTTTATAAAAATTAAATATTATTTTAGATTTTAAGTGGATCGATGAATGTATTGATTTTACAATGATACAATGTGTTTTTTATTTTTTTGTTTGTCATTACGTTTTGGGGCTGTATAAATGCTTTGATTTTCATCTCCACCATCTTCTTTGGTAGAAAAGTGAATCTAGTTGGTATAGTTTGGGAAGGCCCCTCTCCGCCGATCAAATGTAAAAAATTAGTAATTTTCAAAAGCATCGAGAAAAAAAAAAAAAAACAACACATCTTTATGCAATACCAGTTTTAGATTTTGTTTTTTTAGTGTAGGTATCTCAATCGTGAAAATTTGCAAACTATTTTGTAGATAAAAATGTATAAAACATTCAATTTTTACAGCTGCAAAGAAAATTTAACATATGGTTCCTCACAAGTAGATCATATTGAAACTAGATCGACTGCTCGAACGATGTCCGAAAGGTACCTACCAAGGCAGAAGTCAAAATGATCAAGTTAGTCAAGTGACGATAAGAATAATGATTGTGTATGGTTTAGCTGGCAGGTACGCATAATCGGAAATTTCCAAAATTAATTTTTACAACCGTTAAGATGGTGTTGGTGAACATGTTTCAAACAATAAGTCACTAGCACTCTCATCAAAGTGCATTTTCGCGTAAACAACGTTAACGAATATAGACAATAGACATACCTACCTATATTATCAAAGTAATAAAAAGTGAATGGTACTTATTAGAGTAAAACGTTAATTAGATAACTGTGATTTTTCTTTTTGTCTGAAAATTAAGAGTCGAACTATATTTCAGCCTTCAGGTTTATATTATATGGTGCCATGTGTTTCTCCATCCGTTCAAATATTATTTTATCTAGAAGGAACGACTTCAGCTAATGGAGGTTTTGGAACCAGTGTTGTAGCTATCTAAAACAATTGTGGAAAATAAAATTAGGAGGGATAATGATAACAGTGTATTGAAATTCGGTTGTGAAATTTATCCAGAAAACAAATAATTACTTTTAAAACAATTGTCCAATATAATGTGAGTCTCTTTATAAATATAAAAAAAAATATCGTCGTTCTCAATGTTTTCAAAATGCCATAATATAGAGATCTAAACTAAATTATTTTTAAATAAAAAAATCATACTTAAAAAATTATTGCTTCTAGGTATGTTTTTTTATTGGTAGCAACTATTGTTTGATACAGGATAACGACGGGTTCGTTTTATGTTGATTAATTTGTTAACGCTTAATTGCAATTTTTATACTTCATTATTAGCTTTGATGAGTCTATACTCTGCTTAAATTAATTTAAGCATAACGCTTGAGTATAAATTAACTAAAAATAACATTTGTGTTAACATGGGTATTTAGTTATAACCAAATTATAGTGGCAAACGTGGGTAGCTTAAATAAACGGCACACCAAGTATATAGATTATTTTGTACCCCATTTAAATTATCAACGAAAAGGGATTCTTGGGGGCACCTGGGTAATGGTTTTATATTAATTGTTAATAAAGTGAAAGCTTAAACCGAAGCTCAAAAGTAAGAATTTTTTTTTTGTAAAACAGTTTATTCGTACATTTATTTACATCAATTATAAACATTGGCTTAACAATTTGCGTAACTGGGTAAATTGTTCAAAAACATGGGTGAAAAAAAATATTTCACACTTTTAGCCAACTTTTACGAGTATAAATTTGAAAAAAGCTGCCACGGAGGGTGTATTATACGTTACGTACGTATAGTATAGAGTTGGGGAGCTTAGACGTCGCGGCGACTGGAGGGGAGGTGGTCGATACTGAGGGGTGGTCGGTGTGTGCGCGTGAGTGGGGTGAGGTCGGGCAGAGGAGAATGAGTATAAGTGGTGGACGAGAAGAGGGTGTAGAAGTGGTAGGTAGATGAGCGGTAGGATGAACAGGAGGAGAAAGAGGAGGTTACCGTCAAAGACCATGTGCACGACCGGAGATGACGTCACTGGAACAAACGGGATGTGTCGCGCGCGAGAGGGGAAATATTGATTCTGGTACGGCGGCGCTGCGCCGACCGCCGCGTTTCTCTCCGCGGATTCCTGCCGCCGCGGTAGTCTCTCTGTCCGAGCCGTCGGCCAACCGACGACGCATACCCGGATCCCGGCGTCCCGTGTACGCGCGTTGTGCCCGTTACCCTCCCACACACGACATTCACACACGCTCTCTCACACACATACACACACCCACACTCACCCACACACACACACACATATACCAACACACACACACTCGCACGCATACACATACACACACACACACACCACACACACACACAAACACACAATCAGACTCACACACGCACACGCACATACACACAAAACGTAAATAACACGCATCTGCATGACGTACGCTATACAAGAAAAATAATATTACACATGTTATAATATAATATATTAATCTATGTTATCGTAAACGCCGGTTTTTCGTTTGTTTTTTTTTTTCAAATTTTAAAAATCATTTTTTTTTTTTTTAAATTGCAGTGATAATACGATACAATTCACACAACATCGGCACACACGCGTATTATAGGCGTGCATGTGCGCGTAACACATATTGTTTCAACACAGTAATAAACCGTTCGCGAGCGTTATCTATTTCTCCCTCCCCGGCGCGGCGTGTGCCACCGATAGCCCTCGCGGCGTCCGCATCCGACTCTGACGCCGTATGTACACTCGCGGACGCCGGTGCAGTTCGCGTACGCGCCCGCTATGATCGTTATGTGTATCGCATAAATTGCACGTGCGAATTTCGATCGTCCGCCGCCGCGGTTGGTGGCCAAAGAGAGACGGACAGTTAACGCACGGGTAACGGACATAATATCGTCACATATTATCGTACAATATCGTGCGACGGACATCGGTCGTCCCCGCGGTAGTCGTGGTCGACGCCGCCACCGCCGCTGCTGCCGTCGCCGCCGTCGTCGTCGTCGTCGTCTCCGCCACCGGAGCAAAGGAGCCGCCGACGTCTCGTCCGACGAGTACTCTATGCTCGCTTAGGTAAAAACTACGGTATAATAATCTTATATATTAAAGAAATATAATATCGTCATAATTTAATGCACACAATACCTAATATTGCGTACGTTTTGAGTAGCTACCGGCACGATGGCTATATAATATTATTTTCCTAAAATAATACGTTTTGACCGTGCCTATGTTCATGCATACGCTCACATCATGGCTATCTACAGCAAACTTTGCTGATTCCCGTCACGCATTACTTATACTATTACGTTCTACGGCCCTATATATATCACTGGGTATATAAACCGTATCGATTCACCGTATTTTTTCGCATTTGGACCCCTGGTTCGTCTTATACACACGATATTCTATAAAATACAATACATTCGCATGTATATCTAATATCTATATAGTTCGTACATCTTTGTATAGACTATCAGGAATTGATATTCTATATTGTGAAAATATTAATGCGGCATGATGGTTGATTCGAAAATTTGTCCAAACGTCTACGTAAAACTAGACTTATTTTATAATTTGCCAATGATAGACTTACACAACGTTTTCACTAATAATATACATACATTTTAACAACAAATTGTAATGAGATACCTATATTTTCAAATGTTTCAAAGTTAACCATCTCTTATCACGTTGCTACTGTGGTAATAATTAATATTTTAACGAGTAGAAATATTTATCGTGTTAGATATAATGAGTAATTTTTATTTTAATATTGTATAATTATAAGAGTATAATATGAATCGTTAGATTATTAGAACGAAGCCTATCATTCGGTTGGTTATCATATAGTATGTGGTACAGTTATATTCGAGGTTAAGTACAGACCGATGTCATATCAATGGAACCTAAGAGTGGACCACGTACAATTGGGCTTAACAATAATAATACATATTACATTGCCACCCCTTTTATTCTTAACCCATTGACCGCCACCGCGGTGTATTAATATCATATAAAATTATTTAGGCAAGCATGCTGTGAAATGTAATTGGTATATTATTGTTACTATTATTATAAGGTTACTGCATAAAAGGCGTTCACCGCAAGTCCACCCAAAGAAAAAGAAAATATAACAAATAAAAAAAAAATCGAAATGAAACCTTTCCCGTCCCCATTGATAATTATATATATTATATGTATTGCGAACCGTAATCAATGTAAAAGTGGTCGATTTGCAGTTTTAGCAGTGGCGTTGTTCGACGGGCTTTGAGATTTTTTTTCTAAAATAACAGCAATATTTATATGTAATGCCTAGTGTATATATAATTTATATCACATAAAGCTATAAAGGTAATATAAATGTTAATATGTACATTACAATTATATATTATGCATACATTGCCACATTGGTATTTCATAATTTTGTTTTCGTATATCGTTTGCCGGGTTATCAGAACATGCCATCAATAGGACAGTGCACATACATTATTTTGGTTTTATCACGGGAAGCGGAAGAAATATTTTTCGTAATGTGCGACAATAAAAGTGCATTGTAACATAAAATGGATATTTGGACTAGTACTTAAATTATTAATTGTATAGGTCATATAATACCTAGGTATATTAATAAAAATGTATGATTATATAATATATTATAATTAGCATATTCTTACAGTTTTTTCTGTACTAAATATGTTATAATAGTTTTGTTTTATTATCATTAATTTTATCAAAAATTTAGTTATAGAAATTTCATAAGTTTATATATATATATATATATTTTTTGTGAACATGTATTTAACACTTACATTTTTTATTGAAATATAATTTTGTGAGTGAAATATTATATAGGTACTGACGTACTGTAGTAACAGTCAACAAGAATTTGTTTGTTTTCCCAAAGTATTGCTTTAAAGATTTATTTGTACTATAGTAAAACTTCTTGAACAGTGATATACATTTTTAGTTAACCGCATTTTAAATACATTTTGTTAGAAAAAGTTTTGATATTATAAGAATTAAGCATACAATAGAGCGTGGGTACACAATAGATTTTTATACTTGTTAAAATTCAGCCTAAACAAAAGCCATAGTGTTTTTGTATTGCCCTTTAATGACCTATAATAAATATAAGCTGTTGAAATTATCCGAGAATAAATATGTTACATACCTATATATATATTGCAATCTTAGCCATACATTTTAATTATTTTTAAAATGAATTTCAAGTAAAATTATCATTACCAATAACCGTTTCAATATGTTTAAAATATATGAATACTATATAGTAGTAATAAGTAAAAAGTTCTCGAATTCTCGATTAATCTTTTTTAAAGGTTTAATTTAATATGTTCACATCCATATGACTTGTAAAATATACAAAAGTGTATTATAAGAGAAAATATTTTTTGGCTTAAAAATATTTAAGTTAAATATTTTACAAACATTTTGTGTGGTAAGCTTTATTTGAATAATAACTCATTCATATATATAGGTAGTTTATACTATTTTATAAGTTTTAAACTAGATCTAATTTTATTTTAAACGTTACCGACCATTTGAATTCAATTTATATGTACCTAGTTATTATTTAACACTTAAATTATCAAGTTTAAGCATATACAATTTCGACAAATCGATATCTTTGATAAACAAATTTTTTTAATATAAAATTATTGAAATGTTTTAAGCATAAACGTAATTTGATAGTGCCTTATAATATCTTATTATAATAATATCACCATGCGTAGATGCAATAGTTTTTGACGATGTACAACGTGTGACAACGATCTCTTACAACCATACATGACCGATTTTGTGTTTGAAAAATATCAAATTGTTTAAATATTTATTTTTTAGTGTAAAAACACGGCTGATGCTTAACTAGTTGGAAATTGTATGATACAAATAAATAAGTAGAAAAAGTGATCATTACTTTTTATAGATTTTTCCCGATGTTGAAAAGTTATAGTTTCCCATGATATAAAATTTAATTTCTACCCTTCATATCATTTGTGGCGTAGAAATGGACTGCAGGTTGTAAAAGAAGAAACGGAGAGAAATAAATAAATAAACTCAACTGGAAACTAAAAAGTTGCAGGTCTATACAAACTAAAAAGTATGTCTTTTTAATATTTATTATTTTGGTTTTATAATATTAACCTATTTACTTATCTAGTCTCTATGTCTTATTTTTAGTAACTTAATACTATACAAACTAAACAATTATTCCTACCTCTCAAGTTTGTTTCTGATAAATTAATATAATTAAATTAATTTATATAATTAACTTTTATAATACCACCACCGTTCAGTACCATTTTTCGTACCTATGCGGCTATGCAATGATTACATATATAATTACAGTGGCATATATAATGTCGAAATACACTCAAAGCATATAATATATAATAGAACGGCTTCTTTTGTTTTTCTCTCTTAAGTTTCTTTTAAAAACGTTCTAATAAAAATAATGAATAATATTCTCTAAAACTTTAAATGTATTATTAATTTCTCCAATGTTTCAAGTTATTTTGAGGGCCAATAAAAATCGTTTTCTGGATTATGACAACACGTAAGGCAGACAATCTGAAGTGCACTTAGAAAAGTCGTTAAACGAAAATTTCTCATTCACCTTTTGCAGATCCTTAACCATCAAGTGCACTCAATGTCATTTAAAAATATCTCATCCTTGAATTCCGATTAATTAGCTGAAAACAATTGATTAAATATTCACATATTTTTCAATTTACACCAAAGTTTAAGAACTCAATCAAGTGGTCGTATAATAGTACTAAGATAAAAAAATAAATCTGTAAAAATGATAATTTATTATTCTAATATATATTTTTTTTTTGAAAAAATACAAAAACACATAATAATTCATTTAGTTGTTATAGTTTTGATATGATGAATGATTGTATGATATATTGATATGTTGTTTGTTATAAAATATAATATCATGTACAAAATAATAATATAAAAATGATATTTTTCGTATTAAATAGGTACCTATGAATTTAGTGAGAAAAAAACAAGGTGTATTAAAAAATGTCTTCTCAAAACACCTTTTTATATTGTAATGTAAGAAGTAATAAATTTATTGAAACCTTGTTTATATATACTTTTAAAAATCTTGTAGTAATATTTATTTATAAATTATAACAAAGTAAAATATTTTAAATTATGATTTAAATCCTAAGTACTAAGTAGAATGCAATTATTTAGTATAATTTTGGGCGGAGCCTTGATTACTTACATAATATAGCATTATAAAAAATAAGAATAAAATGCCACTTCCAAAGTTCAATTTTTATAGTCATGGTAATATTACAATAGTCAACTAATATAGCGTAAATTACAACTTGAGTATAATTTTAGTATAGTTTTCACCTACTAAATGAACTAATATTTATTTTATAGCAACAAGCCTAACTTTATTACTCGTTAATCGTTTTGTTCTAAATAACAGATATTTTCCTAAATTGAAAACATTAGATTTTGCACCAAAAATGCTGAGCAAAAACTGTTTATTTTTTGGAAATATAAATCGTGTTTCTCGCCTCCTAAATATGCTTTTAATGTGAAATTAATGACCCGACCTAACTCTGATTTTCTAGTTTGAATTTAATTCCCACCTGCCCATGTTGGCTGTTTTGATGAAGATGCCCCATAACACCAAATCCATATTGATTTATTTTTTTATCGTTTAATTTGTATACATAGGTAGGCGTGATTAGCGTTGGGTATTATTTATAATGCTTTGTAAATATGATTACCTTTATGGCTATATGCTATAATTTAAACAAGGTAACTGGTGGTTTTTGTAACTTAGTAAAACGCCTATGCATTATACGTAACACCGGATTATATTCATACGGTTCGTAATAAAAATGTATTTTATAAACCTCCATTATGTAATTTAAGAAACATCTTAAAATTTAATATTTTTTTTGAAGGTTAAAAACTAAATAAAATAAAATAGAATACGTTGTTGAGCTAAATATTTATAAATATATATTAAACATATATTTATGTATTATTTTTCTAATGCCTAGGTACCTGTTTATTAAAATACTATT